CATTGGTTACGATATCGCCACTGCGCAAAGCTAACGAAATTATCCCAGAGCACCGTATTTATAGGCTACGAAGAGAAATTTTAACTTCGAGAGAGAGAGAGAGAGAGAGAGAGAGAGAAAGAGAGAGAGAGAGAGCGTCTCGACAGCAACTCCACGTAGCGTCTACTTCGGGATCTATGGGAAGAAAAACTTTTCTTCCCATAGATCCCGAAGTAGACGCTACGTGGAGTTGCTGTCGAGACGCTCTCTCTCTCTCTCTCTCTCGAAGTTAAAATTTCTCTTCGTAGCCTATAAATACGGTGCTCTGGGATAATTTCGTTAGCTTTGCGCAGTGGCGATATCGTAACCAATGAGGTTTTACCGAGGTGCGATTATTGCTAGTTGAAAACTTTACCAATACCCCGCCATGACGATGTGAAACACCATCGGCTACGGCAATTTTTGAAAGTTTCTGTGGAAACTGATAATCGGTCGACAATAATAATTATTCTAGCTTTTGAACCTTGTATACCTTTCCTAAATATACGAGAGAGACTCCATCAGGGGGAAATAATAACTCCTACCTTATAAGTGACATTACCATACTTTAATGTCATTTGCGCTTGACCCCGCTTGATTATGACTAAAAATTTAATGTATAATGTTCAGTATTCGCCACTCTTATAAAAATTGGACGCTAGTTTGCATAAGTGCTGTCTGGGTTTGGTTCGGATGTGATGGCCAAATCAAACAAATAAGTTTACAAAATGCAGAGAAGTCGTAAAGCCACATATCCACGCACGCTTGGTGCATGTGAAGCTCTTCCCCCACTTGCACTTGGAAAACTCATCCTATCTGGCCACTAGCCATGTTGCAGGTGTACTGCGAAATCAGCAACCCAACAACAAGTTTTCGTGAGAAAGTAAGAAAAAGTCTTAAAATAATTATTTTTGTCGATTGATTATCAGTTTCCGCAGAAACTTTCAAAAATTGCCGTAGCCGATGGTGTTTCACATCGTCATGGCGGGGTATTGGTAAAAGTTTTCAACTAGCAATAATCGCACCTCGGTAGAACCTCATTGGTTACGATATCGCCACTGCGCAAAGCTGACGAGACTAGACCGTCGCACCGTACTTATAGGCTACAAAGGGAAATTTTAACTTCGAGAGAGAGAGCGTCTCGACAGCATCTCCGCGTAGCGTCCACTTCGGGAACTAACGAGCGGCCAAAAGGCGGCAAGTCGATATGCTCGTCCGCTCGATGCCCGAGCACGAATAAAATTTACCATTATTAACAGATAATTTAAACGACCGACTGTCCGAGTATTTGCGACAAAATATATCGGAACAGGAGAGCATGCCTGCGAGAAGTTGTGCGTTCATGAGGAGCATGCCTGACGCGAGTGCCGCCTGTTTCTTCCCGGTGTTATCTCTTATAACACTTTGCGTTCTCTGTTGAAATAAAGGAACTTCATGTTTTTACGTGTTGTCTTTTACCGCAAAATAAAAATATATTTTACAAAATTAAATGATTTTCTAATATAGATAAGAAAGTAGGCTTTATAAAATGACGTGTACCATAATACCGCACAAAGCGCAGACTAAATGCATGACGCGTTACATTCAATTATTTTAATAATTATGAAGTAATTTAATAATAATTATTCGTAATAAAAATATGAAATAACTTTATAAATTCATAACAAATAGGAAAGTAATATTATTGCACACTGAGAAAAGAAAATAAACTTAAAAAATACTAAAATATACTTAAAAATTTGTCAGATATATACACTGAGGGAAAAGTTATCTTAAAATCAACAAATATTTTTTTGATGGGTGTTATTAACATATATACTTAAGTCTAAATTTTCTTTATTTAAATCAAATATTGTTTACCTGATTTAAGTAAACAATATTTGGTTTAAATAAAGAGAATTTAGATTTAAATATATATGTTAATGACATCCATCAAAGAAATATTTGTTGACTTTAAAATAATTTCCCCCTCAGTGTAGTTTATTCGTAGAAATAAACTTTACATTCCACAAATAAATTTTCAAGTACTTTCTTTTCGATGCATATATATACATTTTTATTTTTTCAAAAACTTCTACGGCTGGATTTTTATAACATCACGTCGATGCTGCGGGATTTTTACAGCTCCTTTTTATTTCGGACGTTTCGAAGGACAGCATTTTTTTCTTTTTCTTTCTGAGAAGATTACCGACGACGTGCTATTTGTTAAAGAAATCGTGCATAGTTATATAACTCGCGTGCGGCTGAGCGCATCACAAAGTCGCTCCAGACGTCTATGCGGATCCGTTGTGTTACGATAAACTTGGAAACAGTGACGATTGACGAAATCTAAACTCTACGGTGATCTCACCTTTCGAAGTGGCCAGAGTCCAGAAATGTAAACGACGTTTACATATCGGCGTTTTACATTTGGCGTGTCTCCATGCCCATCAAATCGTGTCTTCGTGCAAAATACACCCACTTGTTCGAACTTTTCCGCTTTACGGATCCGCCGATTTTCGCGGGCGTTCAGTTTATGATGTACGTTAGATACCGCGATATTTCGTAAAGTGTCGCTTTAAATTATGTCTCATAGTTATGTCACGCTTATTTTCATATCCGCAACGTATTCGCGCAAAATATTATTTAGATATAATTTAGATGAAGTAAAATAGATATCATCGTTTCTTAAACCGTTGCAACATTTGGAAAGCTGAAGGTATCGCGAGGAAGTTATGACCTTCATATCTATTCTCCTATTTTTAATAAACTTAATAGAAGAGCGCGGGAATTGTATCTGCTTTTTTTGAGAAATGGACTATTCCGATCGGCATAGTTTCGTTTAATTGATTAATATTAAACTGATGCAATTTTCAGGTGCTCTTACTGTACTGATACGTAGATATTTTATATATGCACCTAAAAAAAATATAATTTTATTCTTAGCGGATATTCTCCTATATACACTGTAAATAATCTTGCGTACACGTAGTACCTAAACAAATATTCCAAAAAATTTACTCTAAATTTTTTATCGAAAATTATTCATATGTTTATTTGTGTGTTATTTACATTATGTATAGACTAGTACATAATATAAATAATACACATATGAATAAACATATGAATGAGTTATTTTCGACACAAAATTTAGAGTGGACTTTTTGGAACATTTGTTTACGTACTGTGTACGCAAGATTTTTTACAGTGTATGACCTCAAAAAGATTCTTCTAACATCAAAAGAAAAATATTCTAACAATTCTAGTTGCTAAGTGAACTATTAATCGGAATTGAGATAAATTATATAATATATATATATATATATATATATATATATATATATATATATATATATATATATA